TTGTTAAATGAAAAAGTTTCAGATATTTTAGGATTTTTTTCAAATTATTAGAATCAAAAGCATTATTAATAATACATTTTTTAAAATCATAATTTCTAAATTTTCGATAAGTGGTGGAAGTTAGATGTTAAAAAAATAACTTTAAGAAAATAATTAATGTTCTAATAGACATTAAAGAGCATGAATTTAATAAAAATGACTATTCTTCAGAAATTTTTAGTTAAAAAAGAAAATCTTTTATTAATAAAATAAAAGAGGAAAAGATGAATATAAATGTTTTAAAATTTCTTGTTCAACTTACAGCCATAGATAAATAATTCATATAATGTGGTTCGAACTTAACATATTAGTTGAAATGAAGGTAGATTTGACAAATCAATTATTTGAAAGAATAAGAATAGAGAATACTTCTTTAATTAGAGGTAACTTTGTTAGGTGCAATTTAAATGAATCTGAATTCAACAATGTGGACATAAGTGGAATGAATTTAAACGGGGCACTTCTCTAAAACTGCAAATGGAAGAATATTAAAATACAAGAACTGAATAAATTAAATGGTCATACTGGTTCTGTACTATCAATATCTCTTTCACCAGATGGAACTACTTTAGCCTCAGGTAGTAGTGATAAGTCAATCCGTTTATGGGATGTTAAATCTGGATTGTAAATTCAAGATTCAGATTAGAAATATCAAGATCTTTTAGCATAATTTAAATTACCCTTACATTAAAATAATCTTCTAGGAGAAAGTATTATTTGTATATATATTTTTAGGTACCTCATATCTAAACATTCTCCTAATCTCTTAATTGGAATTATTTCAAGCTAAAGGAGCTCTCATTCTTTAAGGAGAATTTGTAAATCATTAAGGTTATGACTTAAAACAATTATTAAAATAGAAAGGAAGTATATTTTTGGAAAATAAATTAGATGAATTCTAAAAACCGAATTGATTAATATTAAATCATACAGAATATTGTTAATTAATTTTTTTTTTAGTTATTATAATATATTTTATTTTTTTTCCTTTAGGTTTACTATCTCGGCATCAGCTTTTAATGGAAT